AGCAGTGCCACAGGCTGATTGTCTCCATGCCACGCCGCACTGATGCAGTAATTCATGCAAAAGGAGCCCCTACCAAGTATTGAGTACATGTACAGTAAATTAACATACTTTCCAGAAGGCCAACAATTCACTAAAAATGTTTTTTTTATTGGTCTTATGAAGTATTCTAATTTGTTGAGATAGTGAATTGGTGGGTTTTTGTTAAATGTGAGCCAAAATCATCACAATTAAAAGAACCAAAGACTTAAACTACTTCAGTCTGTGTGCATTGAATTTATTTAATACACGAGTTTCACAATTTGAGTCGAATTACTGAAATAAATGAACTTTTCCACGACATTCTAATTTATTGAGATGCACCTGTGTGTACTGTGTGTGTGTGTGTATATATATACAGTAACCCAGTTCCACAGCTTTTAAGCCATTTAAAAAAAAAAAAAATCAGATTTCAAAAACGGGATATTTTTTATCTTTTGTTGTTTTGCAGGATGATAGTATCTCTGAATCTGTGGTAGTCTAGGGATTAATCCGACACATCTGAGAGGTGAGTCCATTAAACATTCAACAGAAAATAGTTAATGGGTTGATGACATTCAAAACATATTGTGCAGTGCATAAAATAACTTGAATGCGTTTTTTGTTTCTGAACATGGTTTTGTAATTAATAATTCTGAACATGGTTTTGTAATAATTCTGAACATGGTTTTATAACATGGTAATTTGTAATTTTTTTTGGAGGTGAGATCAGTCAAAAATGTAAGTTTGATACAAATATTCTGATGGCAATTAAATAAATAACCTAATAAAAAATGAAATCCTTGCATAATGTTTTATTAGTATTCCCTAGAAAAGAATATGAACAAAAATACTGTATTTCTAAATGTTTGGAGAGAAAAAAAAAAAAAAGTTTTGTGCCAAATCAGTCACATGGTGCAACTAACAAAGTTGCGGTCCAACCAATGTGAAGAAGAAAAAAAACTACTTTAAACAGAAAATTGTATTATTGAGAGGACCAGACCCACATGACACTGTGCCAAGGTCAACAAGTTACTTAAAGGGATAGTTCAGACAAAAAAGAAAACTGTCATCTTTTATGAAACACATCTTTTATTAGAAGACAAGGGTAGTTCAGGTGGTTTGACTCCCTAAAGATGTAATATTTATGAATTATTTATAATATTTGTGAAAAAGCTTTTTACTATAAGACATATTTAAGAAATTGTGGAAATGAATAGGATGTGTGTACACTCACATATATTACATTTTACTTGATGCTGCATGATGTTTTTAGATTCATTCAATTTTATCCTTTCCTAAAAACAGCAAAAAACCATGTGAATAGTACATAGTGCGTTTCTTAAAACTTGATAACTTTAAACTAGATAAAATATTTTTTACATTATACTGGATACTAAATTTGCCACTGACACTCATATTTTAATAGCTAAATATACTACATGGCTAAAAGTATGTGAATAATATGAAAAACTCAGCTTTTCCATTACAGGAATACATTTAATTTTAAAATATGTTATTACATAAATCAGTTATTTTAAATTCTGAGAATGTTTGACATTACTGTGTATTTGATCAAATAAATGCAGCCTGTGTGAGCATAAGAGCTGTCTTTCAGAAACATCAGAAACTGGCCCCGAGTCAGCTGTTGTTGTCTGCGCTGTGTTCAAGAGAGAGAGGCTGAAGATGAGCAGGAGGAGGCCTGTGAGGTTCATATGAGCCTCTAGAGTGACTGACAGCTGTCTGTGGTGAGCATGTCTGTGCACGAGGACTTAGATCACCCGCGCTTCTTTGTGGGAGCGGATGACGGCGAGGGAGACGAGTTGCTGGATCCAGCCAGAGTGCTCGGCTATGACTGCCTGTACGAGAACCTGGAAGAGGAGGATGAGGACAGAGATGATGCAGAATATGATTCGGTAGGTGAAAAGACTCGTATTGGGTGTTTAGGTTCTTGGCCCACTGGACAGTTAATGGAATATTGTTTTCCAGATCAAGTAGAGAAAATATTTCTAGAATCACCTTGTAGTTTGCATTTCTAAAACAAATACCACCACGATTCTACAAAATGCAAAATAGTCTGCAGTTAAAAAACAGGCTTACTGACCTTGACTTGCTAATTAGAAAGAAACGTGGCCCCAACAAAAAACTATGAAAGGATTATAAAACTCCTTCAGGATGCAAATCCAACAATGTGACAAAATAAGATGGTTCTTTTCGAGCAGCGGTGTATAAAATTTGGTGAAAGTAAACAAAAGAAGAACATACAGGCAGACCAAGCATCAGGACCGAAAACTCAAAGCCTCGGACGTTGAAATTGCAATGCAAGAAAACCACAGCAATATGCTTAATTCCTAGAACTTTGTTAGTAAGTTCTCAGTCATTTGCATGTAAAATACACATTTAGTGGCAGATTTACTAGCAGCTTGTGCCAGCACAAACCCTCTTTTGGTGTTAAAAATGCTATCAGGATTTACGAAATACACCCAGTGAAAAATTAACAATGAAAAGATGTGGACAATTATTTTTGCTGCTGATCTTATTGCAAAAGTTGGAATTTCCCTTTTCAAAAATCAACTTTTTAAGAGAAGAGTATTTAAATAAATTATGCAATGGTAAATCAGGTTTGGGGTAGTCAATTTACAGGTATTTGCTCCATTATTTATCACCCCAAAATAAGCATGTCTTAAGTCATTTCCTTATAACCTGCTCGTAAACGAACAGTACAGAGCTATGAGAACATATCCAAAGTAATTCAAATCAGGACCTCTAGAAATAAAATAGTTATATTATGCAAGACATCAGGCATTTCAATCATTAGCTGACTGACATGTCATGCCTGTATGTTGCATTGCATAATGATTTGCAGCACAGTAAAAAGACTATATAGATGAAATAAAATATACACAAGCTGAAGAAATGCACTGAGAGCTGCTCTTTCCTGGAGAGGATGCAAAAAGCCAGCGCTCTAACTCTGTAACCACTAGATTGTTGCGTTGGATTATGGGTGACGGGTGTATTGTTTCAGCTGTCAGCGTGGGATGCTTTTTTACATCGCAACAATTTTTGTTTAGTAGCTAAACATTTTAACTCCTTGAAGCGTAACTCGATTGAATGAAATGGGTTTTAATTTGAGAAGCGTGTTGTTATCTGCAGCCTCCTGAGAGACAGATTTGTGGGGGCGTGTTAGAACGAGCCGTTTTAGGGGGGCGTGGCAGAGTCTTAACTTTGATAAAGAATATCTCTTTGGGTTTGAGACTTTAGTCTTTGCAACTTCAGGGATCTTATCTATGCACAATCAGCTTGTAACACTCCAAAGAGAAAGGAAAACGTGAAATCGCATCATATGACACCTTTAAGTAATTTGGCTTATCTAGTAAAAGCATCTTGATTTTAAGAATTTTTAGATATTACAAAAATACTAAGTAAGATGAGCCATTTTTTGCAGTTTGAACCGCTCGTGTTCTCAAAATATGTTCTACCCAAAGATCCTGTTTCTAAATCGAATGATTTCATGGCTTCTTTAAGATGTTGTGTGATGTTTCTGTAGAATGTAATCTGGTGGAGGGAGAGGACCATGTGGAGGTGAACGGGGAGATTTTCCAGAAGCCTTTCGTAGAGAAGCCTGTGAGTGCTGAGGACCACAATGTCTACATCTACTACCCCACATCTGCAGGAGGAGGCAGTCAGCGGCTCTTCCGCAAGGTGTGACCTTAATGAGTCTCAATCTATCCCTTCAACAACAAAATACACACCACATTACATCAGCTGAGTATTTTAAGCAAAATACTGGTCCTGCTTTATATTAAGTGGCCATAACTATTATGTACTTGCATCATAAAATAAGTACAGTGTACTTATTGTGTTCATATTGCATTGTAAAACACTTCTGCTGCTATTGAGGTGGGATAGGGGTAAGGTTAGGGACAGGTTTGGTGGTCTGGGTAGGTTTAAGGGTGGTTAAGGTGTAAGGGATGAGTCAACAGTGTAATTATAAATGTAGTTACATAATTTAATTGCAGATGTAATTACATGCATTTTTTAAAATGCAATTTAATGCAAAAATTAAAGTGCAATTTACAAACGTATGCGCATTGTACTAAATGATTAATTTAAATGTAAGTTACATAGTTAAGACATGAGAATGAGCTATATTATTAAACGTGAGAATGATTTGTGTTATAGTATATTGAACAGAATCGTAAGTGTATAGTTTAAGACTGCTTGCCCTGTCAGGTTCTCTGGTAAATGTGTCTCCTGTTTATTGTGTGAGACAGAAACAGTCGCTGTCACTCGTGTTGCCAGCTTGCTATTGAGAATAAATCCTGTTGTGAATAGGGTTTAAAGCCTAAGCAAATTTTTAAAATAATCAGTATTTGCAGCCTTTATTAAAATAATCAAATATATTCAAATTTATAGGTTGTCATTATACTGGCACTCGGTTACATAACAAAATGCCGAGCTGCTTAATAGCTTGTGTAACACTGACGTCTCTGATAGTTTGTGTTTTTAATGATTAGGTGGTGTAGTGTGGTGCAAATAAGTATTTATTATTCAAAAACAAGAAGATAGCATCATAACATGGTATACTTGAAAGGTTTATGTTAGCTAATAATTTAACTTCATTGATAAATTAACTTAAGCTTCATTGCATCAAATCGTCCAAACTCGTCCTAACGGCTGTGTTGAGCAGACGCGTGTCTCACGGTTTCTGATCATGTTACGTCTGTTTCAGATTGGCAGCAGAAGTAGCGTCTATTCTCCCGAGAGTAACGTCAGGAAGACTGGATCCTACATCTATGAGGAGTTCATGCCTACAGATGGAACGGATGTAAAGGTATCGCACAGAGGTCGACCGATGTATCGGTTTTGCCGATTAATCGGCACCGATAGTTTTTTGCTGGAACTATCGGTTATTGGCAAAAATCCATGCCAATAGTTTTCCGGGTTGCGTCCGTTGCTGGAACGGCTGAGAAGGGTCTGTTGTCATTACACAGTGCGAGAGCGGCCTCTAGTGGTTGAAATCACTGACAGCACGTGCTATTTGTTTAGACACGTGATACTGCACGATGAACAGAGCTGGAAACTTCAGACGCGGATTTAAATGCAGCCGACAGAAAATCCTGCCGCGCCATTCACATAGTTTTCCATTAAATTACATTATATTTGTCCCGAATTGTTGTTAATGCTTCATTTGTAGAGCTATAATATAGATCTCGCATTCTCTTTCCGTTTGCGCCGTTTTTTTTAAACACCAAACTTCAAACTCATATATGCCTCATTGTTCGTTCATTCTTGAAGTAAACTTGTATCTGTTTGGTGATTAAATAAACTGTTTTAGACCGCTGCTCGACTTGAACGCGAGGCGTCCGGAGTGTGTGTGATTCTCCTGTGTGTGTCCGGAGTTTGTGTGAGTCTAGTTCTCCTAGACTCAACGCTGCGCTTTTATTTTGATTAGATAATCATCAAGTGTTCAAGAATAGAAGAAGTTAAAGTGTGAGAGTATACATACAATATCCATATGTATATCATTTTAATGCTATGGCCTTTGTGTATATTTAAAGATGTGCATCTTTAAGCATGACAGTTGAAATGAAATGGTAACACTTTAAAATAAGAGTCCATTTGTAACATTAAGATTAATGAAAGCTGTGTAATGAAAGTATTGTTCCTTGTTAGAGTGTGTTAATTTCAACATTATTATTACTACTACTACTACTACTATTACTACTACTAGTAGTAGTATGGTTCAGTACTGTTTTTTTTAATAAAGCACTATTTTAGTTTTTGTTCAGTATCCATTTGAAAAACTATCGGTTAATTAATCGGTATCGGCCAGTGTGGTCCAACCTAGCTACCGGTATCGGCAAAATCCACTATCGGTCGACCTCTAGTATCGCAGTCGTTTATCTTCAGCAGAGCAAAAAACCTCACACACCATTTTCATGTATTTTCATATTAGTGGTGGTAATTCTGATTCATCAAAGTGACTCAAATATTTAGATTTTGTTTAGAGGAAAGTTTTCTCTCTCTCTCTCTCTCTCTCTCTGTTTCTGTTCATTCTGTTCTTCACAAAACGTCTTGAAATGTGATACTGTATGCGAAAACTCTTGAGTCGTGTCTGGCTGTTCAGTTCAGTTTTTTTTTTTTTATTTCCCTAGCTAACAAGTTGTTTACAGCATTTGGACAACAAAAAACATGACAAGTACATAAATTGTTAAATTGAGTTTTAGCTAAATTGGTACACTGCAAAAAATTAGGGATGCACCGATATGAAAATTTTGGCCGATACGATGATTCTTTATTTTTGAAAGCCGATAAACGATATGTTGACCGATAAATTTATATCCAAATTTTTTATATACTTTTTGAGAGCCTGATTACAAAAAAGGTTTAAGAATCTAAAAATTCTTAAATCAAGAAGGATTTTCTACTTGTCTATTTTTAGACATCTTGGCTGGAAACAAAATCAAAGTAATTAAAGCATTTTTTTTTTGCAGTGTAAAAGAGTCCAAAG